TTGTGTATAAATGCTGCCTATTATAGAAGCTGGAGATGCTGCATGGAAGGATGTTGGCACAGTCAGCTAAGACAAAAGAAGCCAAGCTGCTGGCCTTAGTTATCTTCCAGTTGTCCTGTTGGCATGAAGTCTGTTGGAAGAATCACGTGAATCTGAAAGTGTGACAAATATGCAAACAATTAAAAAAACAGGAAGGGGGCAAAAACCTTTTCACACCATTGCATATACTATATATACAATTTTTGCTTCTTTTCAAGTGCTCCTTATGCATACATTTATTTGTTTTACTCTTGTCCCAGATCAATGTCTATTTAAAGTACACAATAAATGTAAGTGTACACTTTTTAAACTCTGGTGAAGGAAAATAAACCAATATTTCACCAAAATTACACTTCTTTTTTTTATCTGAAAGTTTTTCCTGTTCTTATGACCTCACTTGTGCTTTCACTCTCAAAACAAGCAACAATGTGCTTGTTTTTTTTTCTTTTTGTCTTTTCTAAAATTAGTTACTACCAAGACAACATTATCATTATATAATGTGTAATTGTAATGCACATTAATTTGTTGTTTAATGGAAATTACGCTGTGTTTGAAATTTTCACAGCATTCAGTAAATGTGGCAGAATTTACATTGCATGTATATTACTCTAATTAGACATTGCTAGCAAAAAAATTTAACTATTGAAACTCTGTTGTAAGACCCATAGTTGAAGAACCAGCCTTAAATGTTAAAGGTATAGTTCTCCCAAAAAATTTTGTCATTAATTACTCTCCCTCATGTCATTCCCAGCCGGTAGGACATTTGTTCATCTTTGTATTAAGATATTATTGATGAAATCCAAGAGCTTTCTGATCCTGCATAGACAGCAACGCAACCGATACGTTCAAGACCCAGAAAGGTAGTTCAGTAAGGACATCGTTAAAATAGTACGTTACATCAGTGGTTCAACCGTCATGTTATGAAGCTACGAGAATAGTTTTTGTGCGCAAAGAAAACAAAAATAATGGCTTAGTTCAACATTCTCTTCTCTTCCCTGTCAGTCTTTGACACATGTTCACGAGGGTACCACAATGCATGCTTGCAAACAAGGTGCAATGCATCCGGGTCAACTATCCCTTTAAGATATATGTCTGGTCAAATATTCAGTGTAGGTCTTGTTTACCTTTGTATCTGTATGTTCATTATCCATTGAGAGTCTCTTTCATAATATTCTTATGGATGGGGTCTCGGTGAGGCTCTTGTATTCACACAGTCTGTTTGTGTGGCTCTCTTTCTGCACAATGTCTAATGTGGGGCAGAATGTCTGACCATGTAAAATGCACTGAGGGAATGGAGGTACATCACCAACTTTAAAATAGTACTTAGTGCCATCTAGGTGACGTTCTTTGGCCTATAATTAGTGCAATAGCCTCTCAGATCTTGAACAGTGCCTAAGGCAGTGTATGAAACTTTAATGTGTTTTGGATGCAGCTCTTATAATGATTTGACCTTGCCCATGATTGGAGCAACATTTCCTGAATGACATGAATGGTTTCTAGAGATTTCTTGCTGAAAAAAAAGGAAAATAATTTATCTTTTTAAAACACAAAAGAGGCCAAAGACAAATGGTGCAACGGCAAGCAATTCTTCTCTCAGAGTGGTTTAATATACAGAGACATGGAGCAGATAATACAGTCAACATTTTGTATGCTCATATTTTAGAGAGTATCTCAAGAGATGTGGGTCACAAATGAATTGTTTATTCTTGAAATCATTGGCTCACACACTAACAGAGAAAATGATTAGAACTCATTCTCAGACACATTCACAAGCTCTTTTATCCTTTTAAACTTATTATCTAGATGAGTACTATTTACATTGATAAAAAAAAGAATAAAATATGCATAATATTATAGTGTTTATCATTTTATATAATTTTATAAACATGTATTTTATATGTTATATTTGGGGCAAATTTAATGCATATTTAAAAACAAGAAGCTTTCAGAGTGATACAAAGCATACAGTACCTACTTTATGGAAATATGGAAGATATGCCTGAGCATTTTTTTATATTAACATATTCAGATATAAATATATATTCACATTCACAACTGTATATATTTTAATTTACAGATGTATTCAGATCAAAGCTATTTTTAAGTGCCATTGTGAATTTATAATTATAGTTATATTTTTTTCTGATTTATAAATATATATTTAGAATTTGCTTTAATATATTCTTTTATGGACAGATTTACATTTATATATTCATTTACAGCTACATATTTGGATTTGCAACCATGTTCAAACTTATTGTTTAATAATAAGTATAAAATGAGTGTTAAGTGTATAAAATTAGTGTTACCTTGGCTTTTTTTGAAAAAAAAAAAAAAAAAGATTCCCAATACACACAAACTTCCCAGAATACTGAGTACCCTGTTGGTTACAGTGTTCACTACTTTTTTTTATTTTTTATTTTTTTTTAGATTTTTATTAAATATTTATTTATTTGTGAAACTGTTTTGTCTTCTAAAGTATAAGTATGTTTATTTTACACAATTATTTTTAATCCATTTTCAAATTATTTCAAATTTCTTAAATATAAATGAAAAGAAATAAAATTATATCGGCCTCCCTGCTTTCCAAGATATCAGCATCAGCATCGCCTGTCAAAAAACCCATATTGGTCGACCACTAATCAAAACAGCATATTAGAATGATTTCTAAAGGATCACATGGTATTGAAGACTGTCAGTTTAAAATTCTTCTTTGCCATCACAGAAATAAATGACTAATTAAAATATATATTAAAATAGAAAATTTCTTTTAATTATAATAATCTTTCACAATATTACTGTATTTTAACTTTATTTTTGATCAAATAAATACCACTTTGGTGACCATATGGGACTTAACAAACTGTACTAATATAATTATTCACAAAATATCAAAGACAAAATACACAATGACAATAATATACCCAATGGCCTGAAGAATATGTGTGTTCATTCAAATAACGGTTTTCCTATGAATTAACTAGAACACAGTCCATTTCTACTCTGCCTTTCCTTGGGACATGCAGGGATTTTCCCTGCTTTACATACTTTTGGCCAATAAACCCAGTGATATCAGCGTTGGTTGCCATGCAACAAAGGGGCCTGTTCGGCTTCCTGGGGTGTTATGCATTCCGGGGGGAAGGGTTCATGGGTCCTCGTATGGCTTGTTAACTGAGGGGGGTTACAGAGTATTTGTTAAATATAAAAACGAAATATATATTGTGTGTTTGATTGGTCCAGATGCTACATTATAAACCATTAAAAATATCGTACCGCATCAAACTTTTGTATGTTAGTGTAGCTCACATGAGGATGATGAAAGAATTGTTATTTTTGAGTGAACTTTTCCAATAAGCTTGTCTTGTCTTTTCTTATTTTCTTGCCCTGAGGAGACAACAAATGTTGAACAACTTGAACAGTGCAAATGAGGTTATATACTCTGAGCAGAGTTTTCTTTCTCTGAAGCCACTGACTGCAAGTATTAGTTATCACACCAGCGTCTTTCTGCTTCCTTTCTTCCTGTCCTCGAGCAAACATCCATCTGCCTTCAGCCTCATCCAGTCCCATTTAGTTAACTGTCACTGTGTCCCCATACCAGCTGCAAATCCAAGCTGTGCTTTAGGCCATAATTTGCTGGGCTGTCCCTCTCAGTGAGGCCAGGCTCTTCCGTATGGTGTTTTTATTCTGAAAATCACAGCAGAGCACACTTCTGTGGGAGATGAGCGAATGAAAGAGAACTGAGGATAAAGTGAACACTATTAATATATTAATGCATACTGTCCTTGCCTCTCCCTTTCTGCATGTGAAAGCCTGAGAAAGGAGAATGGTCAGAGTTCTCACTAGTCATAAGCGCTGCGTGTGAGAGAAACAGACAGGAGAGTGCTATGATTGTATGGCTGTGCTCTAGAGATTGGGGAGGATGTTTTCCACCATTCAGCTGTGAGCTGCCATCAGGGAAAGAGGGTCAGAATGGGGGAAATAGATTTTAATTGTCTCCGTGAAATATATATGTACAGGAGTGATCCATCATGATGCTGAAGATGGTCATTTCTGATGGTGTTACATCTGATGAAGGCTAGTTCAGGCTGTTAAGGCTGTTTTTATAGTAAATGTTAATTATACGTTTTATTTATTTTTTTATTCAATATTTTAAGATATTTATTACACTTAAGAAAATGTACTACAGTTCAAAAGTTTATTATTTTTATTTTTTTGAAAGAGGCCTTTTATGCTTAGGGCTACATTTATTTGATCAAAAATTTTATAAAAATTTTAAATAACTGTTTTCTATTTGAATATATTTTAAGCTGTCATTTATTTATTCCTGTCACGGCAAAGCTGAATTTTCAGCAGCCATTACTCCAGTCTTGGTGTCACGTGTTTTAAACAGTTCTGCTGCTTAATATTTTTGTAACATTTTTTTTCAGGATTCTTTGATGGATTGAAAGAACATGATTTATTTGAATGGAAATCTTTTGTTACATTATAAATGTCTTTACTGTCACTTTTTACTGTCAGTTGAATGTATCCTTGTTGGAAAAATTATTTCATTAATTTCTTTTAAAAAATCTTACTGATCCCAAACCTCTGAACAGTCACAAATAAAGATGTTTTGGATAAATAATATTTATAGAAAAATGCTTTAAATAAATTTCCATTTAATCGAAATCTTTGTTAATAAATCTAAATATTTTCTAGGTAATATTTAATGATTTGCTCTGCCTTTAGTACTTTAATAATATAAAACCCAAATATGTAATTGTGGAAACAAAGCATTGTCTCAATATTGTCACAGTTCTTTAAGAAAAGTATTAAAATGTTTTGCTGTCTTTATATTGTAAAAAAGGTTTTTCTCACAAGGAAATCATCATATTTGGGAGTCCTTTGTATCAAAATCTAAAAGCCCATTGCATAGACTGTGAATTCCCATAAACTGTATCATTGGTGTGTGTTCTCAACAGGATTCTGACCGTAGTGGGGCCAGACTTTGATTTGCGGACACTCAGGGCAGTAAGAGTCTTGCGGCCACTCAAGCTGGTGTCTGGAATTCCAAGTAAGTCATTTTACAAACGCTTTTTCGCAAGTAATTAAATAAATAAATAAGAGGAAACGTTTAGAAATTGTTTTGATAAATTGTTAACCAGCTATCTAGTCTTTGCATTTAGTTGTCTAATTGTTTGACAGCTATTGCTGCTTATAACTTGCAGTACATACTGTATCTTCTGTATGTCATTAGGTCTCCAAGTGGTTCTTAAGTCCATCATGAAAGCAATGGTTCCTCTGCTTCAGATCGGCCTTCTGCTCTTTTTTGCTATACTCATGTTTGCCATCATTGGCCTAGACTTCTACATGGGCAAGTTTCACCGCTCCTGCTTCAAAAACGATACTGGTATGTGAGCTTTAGCATGCTAATGGAGCTTGTGGTTTCAGTTAATTGTGTTTATAAGCACTCATATGCTCTTTAGTTGCTGTGATAGTTTACGGCTGACAGCAATGTTGTTCTATAAGGGGAACAGGCAGCTGACTTTCCATGTGGATCGGAACTTCCAGCTCGGGTGTGTGAAGGTGACACAGTTTGTAGGGAATACTGGACTGGTCCAAACTTCGGCATAACAAACTTTGACAACATCCTGTTCGCTGTGCTCACCGTCTTCCAGTGCATCACTATGGAAGGATGGGTGGACATCCTTTACAATGTGAGTCTAACACTAACAGCTTATTGCATAATTACATTTGAACAAATTAAGAACAACCGACATCAAAAAATATTCTTGGTCAACTGTTTTGTGGACTTCACTCATGAAAAAGAGAATATGGTCAGTTTACAATAGGAATTTTGTGACATTTAACCCATGTCTATTAGCTCTGGTTATGTATTTGCTAGTTTACACATAAAACAGTCCCTCCAGGATTTCGTGATTTTTTTTCAAAATGACTGATTTTGTGGTAATTTCCAGAAATTTGCAAAACATTTGTGCTGATTTTTTAAATAATTAGGATAGCACATTTATTTACCATATTATAAATTATGTTAGATGCATAACAGTCATACATGACACAAAAAAAGCAAACTGAGAATGACATCTAAATGTCAAGTTTGGTTTTTATGAGACATTTTGTTGTTGGTAAATCTGACATTGAGGATGCCACAATAATTGACTGATGGGAAACAAAGTGGTAGCTCATTTAAATAATGCCACAGCAGATCCAGGAAAGGTTATATAAAATTTCCATTTTCATGAACCAAAAAGTCAAAATAGCTAAATAATTTTGACATGTATACACATAGTGGTCTCATTTCGTGGTGGTCTTGTAAAATAATACCAAGACAGGAGTGATGGGCACCATGTCCAAAATTGGATCTTTGCTCAAAGCTGGAGTTTAGTTATAGTTATGTGACCAACTGAATAGTCTAATCTAGAATTAACGATCACAGTTAGTGTTGCTCCGAAACTATTTAGTATTTTCAGACAATGAACAGCCATGAATAAGCTGCTAGTCTTCTAGTCCCTGTCATCTTTTTACTGCTCTTCTCGAATCATCGGCTGAATGCCATGAAGCACCATGCTGTGCAGTAGTCTCTGATGTCTTGCTACTTGATGATGCTGACCTTCTTTGAACCCTGTACTCTCAGAAGTATCACTACGCTGCAGTAGTTATTCAGGATCACAGACACCTTCCACTCAGGTTAGACACCGCTGAGTCTGAACACTGTGCCAAGAAGAGGTGATCCAGACTTTTGATTCCCAGTTAAAATCTTTCTGTTCTGACCAAGAAGTGTCTACTTGGACAGAAAGAGTCCATCTGAGTGACATCTGTATGACCAGTTTGCTTTTTTTATGAGACGTTTAGAGGCAGGCAAATCTGAAATCGATGATACCACAGTAAAATACTGATGGGAAACAAAGTGGTAGCTCTTTCAAATAATGGCACAACAAATCCAAGAAAAGGTTGTATAAATGACACAGAAAAATTTCTTAGAAAATATGCGTAAGCTTTGTAGTCAGAGTTTCTGTAATGTTTTTAAAGGGTTAGTTCACCCAAAAATGAAAATTCTGTCATTAATTACTCACCCTCATGTGGTTCCAAACCCATAAGACCTTCGTTTATCTTCGGAACACAAATTAAGAGATTTTTTAAAAAATCTGAGAGCTTTCTGACCTTCCAAAGACAGCAACACAACTGCAATGTTCCCATGTCCAGAAACGTAGCAAGGACATTGGTAATCAACATAATCAGCACTGTTTAAGTTCAGGATAAAGCATGCACATGCTGAACGTAAACAACACTTATTACATTGATTATGTTCTGGGGTACTCTCCAAAATGGCGGAAGACAGTAACTCGGGGAGAAGAATTGTTGAATAAATTGTTATTATTGTTTTCTTTGCACACAAAATGTTGGAATCAAGATGGCGCTGTTGTGTGTGGCCTGCCATCTGCTGTCGTCCGCATTTTTTAGTTTATGTCTATGAGTTTTTGGCTTCTTCGAATCTCCTCTGAATTGCTTCAAATCTCCTCTGAATTGCTACTTAATCAAATTCAGAAAAGACCACGGCACTTGCCTCTTCCCTTTCTAGCATCCATGTCGGCTTGTTTGCACCGTTCACCATATAATTTTTCTGTGAAAATGCACCGGAAAAGACGGGGGTAAGCGGGGCGGTGTGGCCATCAAGCTCAAGCTTCTGCTTCGGACAAGCAGCGAATTGAACATTAATCTGGATCTGTCTACGAGGGAAGGTGATTGAAACCGCTCCATCATCTGGCGTTCATCTGCAGGGGCTTACTCCTGGAACGAACCCATTCTACTGAGCTCATGGGATCAACGGCCTCAACACCGCTTGCCTCGCCTCCGCCGTTGCGGCGTTTCTCTACATCATTTTCGCCTGCTGCGTAGAGCAACGCAGCTGTTTGAAGACTCCGTGCAGATAAAGATGGCATTGGTCAACGCAAGGTCTGTGGTAAATAAGACTTTTATTCTTAAAGACCTCTTCACTTCCCAAACCCTGGATTTTCTATTTATCACGGAAACGTGGCTTCCCAATGGAGATTGAACTCCTTTCTCTGAGCGTTTACCGCCCCAACTGTAAATGTTTTAATTCCCCCCCCAACTGTAAATGTTTTAATTCCCCCCGTTCTGTGAGAAGGGGTGGCAGTTTGGGTTAAATTTTTTAAGATTGTTTTCAATGTCGGACTATACAAAGAACTACATATAACTGTTTTTAATTGCAGTTGCTTGTGTTGGACTCGGACACTCCATTAGTTGTTGCTGTGGTCTACAGGCCTCCAAAGCCACACAAAGACTTTTTAGCAGATTTCTCAGATTTTTTGGGGGAATCATCCCCAATTTTGATAGATTTTTAATTATTGGGGATTTTAACATTCACATATGCTGCCCCCAAAACTCACTTGCAAAAGACTTTATCAGCCTAACAGAAGCCTTTGATTTAGTGCAGCTTGTTAAAGGACCTACTCATATGGACACACTCTTGATCTTATAATGTCTCATGGGTTCTCTATGGGTGATATTGTGATATGCGACCACAGCTTTTCTAATCACAATCCTATTATATTCAACACACCATTGTCATTGAATGCTGTAAAACCTCATGTATCGGCTCACCTGACGCGGAGGATCACTGCTGCTACCTCTGCTTCTTTTTATTCACTGTTTGAGGAGTTTTCCCATTCTACTGCTCTCGCTTCATCTGAGCTCAGTCCTGATTAACTGCTTTATAGTTTTAATTCTGTCTGCACTACAATTTTGGATTATGTGGCTCCACTGAGGACTAAACATCACAAGTTAACTCCTGAGCCATGGTTGAATAATATCACTTGGACATTGAGACAGGCTTGGAGAAGGGCCGAGAGGAAATGGAAAAAGGACAAACTACAGTGTTACGGGGTTGACGAGACGTGAGACTTGCGGATCCATTCGCAGAGCTTTATTAGATAAAGACAGAGACGTGGTCATACAGCAGGCATGGGTCAGATGAGGGCAAACAGGTATATGGTGGGCAAAACACAAGAATAGTCCTAGGGCTAGCGCAGGTCGACGATCAGCAGACAGAATCAAAAGGGGCAAGACAAAAGGGGTGAATCCAGGGAACCAGGCGAAGATCAGAAACCGAGAAGGCTAAGGCTAAGGCTAATGACTAAGGCTAAGGCAAATGGCAAAGGCAAATGGCAAAGGCAAATGGCAAAGGCAAATGGCTAAGGCAAATGGCTAAGGCAAATGGCTAAGGCAAATGGCTAAGGCAAATGGCTAAGGCAAATGGCTAAGGCAAATGGCTAAGGCAAGTAAGGTAGCTATCTCTAGGAGAGTGATAAATGCTGAAACAATACTCGGCAGAGGGAAGGGATCAGAGTGAGTGTTAAATAGTGAGGGAGTGATATGAAACAGCTGGGTGCAATCAGTGTAAACAGGTGTGTGCAATTCGTGCTGAGTGCAACCAGTGCAATGCATGATGGGAAATGTAGTCCGGGGTGATGTGCAACAGTGTGTAGTGCGAGAGTCAATGAAATGGAAAGTTCATGGACCGGATTCGTGACAAT